CATCGTTGTGTTTATCAAAAATAGCACATTTTTTAATTCGATTAAGTTTAAATTGAGGTAACATACTGGTTGCTTTTAAGTTTCAGTTCGGGTGAAAAAGGAAGCTTGCGGGGAACAGTTCCTTGCGAGAGTGCGTGTTTCTTGTAACGACAGTATCGTTGTCAGTCGCGACAGCTAATAAAGTTTGTATCTCCGGAGACAAGGCCACGGAGTTTCCCCGAGGCGCGAACGATTATCAGAAACTCTGCAAAGCCGTTTCAAGCGAAGCGTCTTCGCGATGCACGCGCGACAATCGATACGACGAAACCTCGAACGGTGAATCGCGAATATACACACAACACAATATAAACACACACAATAGAAACGTCTAATAAAATAAGTAGAAGAGCTTCCGAACAAAGTACCAACTTTTCAATACCAACTCGTGGTTCAAAAATAATCAGGAACCAGTACCTTTTTCACCCGAACAAAAACTTAAAAGCAACCAGTATGTCTCAATTTAACACAGTTCGTACAGTACAGTTCGCTGTGGTGCGCGTGTTAATATTATTTTGATAAGACACATAACTCCTTACTTTTGGGCTTCTATAGTCAGCAACTTAGTTCACGTTATCGTTACACAACTCCATACATTCCAATTACATTAGTCTTGTCTTTGATACATGTAGCTGCACATTCGCATGCTGCAACCCCCGAGGACTGGGCCACCCCAATAGTACAAGGTACATTTGCTGTATATTTCCTTCACGCAACAAACGCCGCGTCAAGTGTCTGACTCAACCGATTAAAATCAGTCCCGGGTCAGAAACAGGCGCGGGCCTCCGCTGAGCGAGTGTTAAACGAGCGTAGAAATTTCAATTACCCAATTACCTCTCCCTAGACCGCGGAGGAACCAACCGAGAAAGCAAAAACGAAACGACGCAAGAAACTCTGCGGTTCCCTTCCGTGCCCTTCTTTCGCAACGCGTCTTGTCCTCGTTTATTGTTCGCTCGATATCGCGGAAGCGGGCAAAGTATGCCGGATTCCTCGCATCGATGCTCGATAGAGCGATGTGTGCACGATGCACTCCCAACCGAGAACGCCTCGTTCGTCGTCGGCCGTTTTCATTGCACGCTCGGCGCTGCTCGGCTCTGCGCAACGCGTGTAATCAAGTGGTATAAATAATTCCGACGCGCAGCCATGAGCCGGCCACCCGAGCGAAGCTCATTCCCCTGTTATGACACGCCGGAATCGGGACGGCGAGGCGTGCGACGACAGACGGTAACCCCTTCTTCATGAGAAAACCAGACACTGTTACCATTTTCAACGAGTTATGAAACAACAGAGGTTTGTTGGTTTCTATCTTTTCTGCGCAAGGAAAACAGCGTGGTACTTGTATGTGATTCTTCGCGAGTGAGCATTTTTGGAACAAAAAAGAAGCAGTTTAGAAGCAGAAGGCTCTTCCACCTAATTGACCAGCGCGAAAATTCTTTTCATTAGTAATTTTCTTCAGCCCTTTCGACCCTAGTGGGACATACAATTAATCCCATAAATATTCGTACCCTCTGTATTTATTGAAGGAATTTGTCTAAATTAAATAACAGGTTTAATGTTTCCAAATCAATTTATCATTATATATATTTTAATGTACAAGTGTAAAGTTTATCCACGTTCATATTTATAATGAAACATTTATTTGAAACCACCCAACTTATTATTTAATTTAGAAAACTTTTTTGATAGACATAGACGGTACGAATATTTATGAGACCGACTGTATATGTATCAGTGAATACTTCTGATTGCTTTTGGCCAAATTGCAAGTGAGACTTATGGGAACACATGTGACAAAAATGAAAATCATTCGCGTTGGTCCAAATTGTCTCTTCTTATTCGGTTGCATCCTTTGGTATATAGCCAACTCTAGTTGAATACAATTAATTTCTAAAGAAGAAACGAATCGAAGACAAATACACAAAAATCTCAACTATCACTAGGAGTTCCAACATACAATCAATCTACACCAAATATATTTTCTACATTTTCTACACGACCAAAGCTTCATTCGCTATACAATATCTCCAAATGGGAATTAAGGTAATTAGTTATTCGAACAAACTTAGATTGTCGGAGCTGATGGTAGCAGTACGACAGTGTAACGCGTTACTCTCACGATTGGTGGACGAAAACTGGTGAACAGTTTTGAAGAACGGTAGAAGGCGAAACGTCCACGATTGGCCGATTCCCGACTAACGCCCTCGGTCGTTAGTGCAACGGAACCGGTGCGCCTAGGACAGGAGAAACGCGGAATGTCCGCGAACTCGCGCTGGATGCCCCTATTATCGCTCGTCCGACCGCTAGAATGCCGTTAGTCGACGGTCAATCTATTGTTCTACGTGTGTGCATGCGATCTTGACGCTCCTGGAACGCTCGGAGAGCGAAGCCAACGGCCTAACTGGGACGGAATCGATAGCGCCACTTTCATGATTTTTGCTTGTATCGCGATACCCACGATCGTGTTATCAAATTATAATACATTTCACTGCCGCTGAATTACAGTTGGAAGCAACTTTTAGAAAATACAGACGGTCTCAGATGATTGGATCTTAATCTCGAGGAGTCTGTACGACTACGATGACTTGTGGTGTTTGGGTACAGGGGTAAGTAGCAGAGAAATTGAATCTGAAATACCTTAGGTACGTATTTATTCTAATGCCTCCCTAAGGATTGCATAGTCTCACTTCCGCTTACGATCTCATGTACAATAATATTGCTTAAAACTTTGCACGCCTATGGTCGAGTGTAACTCGACATCAGTTTTTATTTCAGGAGTTCCTTTGTCGAATCCAACTCGACATTCTTTCATGTTCGAATCAATAGGGAAGGAAATTGTTTCAAGAAATATCACACACTTGAAAATTACAAAATACTACAAAAGTGAGAATAAAACTGGTATTTAAGTGAATTTGTTTCTTCCTTTATTTATTTAAATTACCATATTTCTTAGTTAAAGTAAATTTCAAGTAAAACACTTAAAAGTGTTGTGAGCTGCTGGTAACGAAATTGAAATATAGATAATTCGGAGTGCAAAGAGTTAATCTATCCTTAAAAATACCTTAAGTGAATTACGATTTGAGGAACATTAATTGAAAGTTGTCAGGCTCAAATTGTGAAATAATTTTGAACACTATAAAGAAGTTCTTTATGATCGATGATCTCATTAAAATTATTTCCATACGTTCGATCTCAATTAACTCGGTAACCGCTGTGGTCTATGTTTTCAATCAACTTTTGGAGGTTGGAGGACTCGAAGATGACTGGACCGAAAGTTTACAGAGCGCCGAGTCGACGATGCCACGTCTGTTCACCGAATGCTGCGGAACTAGGTGTGATCGAAGTGAAATCAGAACTATTCTGCGTGTACAAAGTTCTATGTTTGTTACCACACCAGCTGCTGGCCCATATTTTGAGGAATTCTTTAGAGGAGACGAAGAGAAATCTAAGGTGGTCTGAACTTCCAAAGCGTCTGCTTTACGATCCTAACGCTTGTATTTTTACACTGAGATGGGTCGAATTCTTATCCAGATAAAAATAGCGAATAGCGAATAAAAGCTGAATCGAGCATTTATTATTGGATTAGAAGAAAATATGAATTGAAATCATACAATGAAATTAATCCACAAGTATGAATTTAACTCGTCGAATAAATTACTACAGGTCTATTACTGGAATGAAATTAATCTATTATACCCTCGTCGCCAAAAAATATACCCCCTCGCGTATTTTACATTTACAACGGAGGCATTTCCAAAGAAGAAAACTCTTTCTAACGAAAACTAGTGTGATCACAATTTCTGTTCGATCACTCGAGCACCGCACCGGTACAACAAAGTCACGGTATAATAACTACGACCGTGTTATATGCCTGGAGAGACACGCACCGCAATTTCAATACAAACAACGAGCTCGTGTGGTGCAATACAGTTACGGCGGTCAGACGTTTCCGGTTTCTTTGAATCCTTCGGAGAGACCAATGCGTGGGTAAGACAAGAAATAGATTCCAGCGCGGCGTGTCGTTCCAAGAGCGGTGAATACATCATCGCGAGAATCCGTGAGTCGATACCGGCGAAAATAAATCACGATTTTCTCGATGAGTTTCGCAGGCTCGAATAATTTTTATCGGTTCCCCGGAATTTCCGTTATCTGGTGACATTTCGCGCGTATTCAAAGTCACCGACAGACAACGCTGGAGATAAAAAATTCACAAATCGATATCCTTTATCTGCATTAACATTCAACCGGGGTAGAGATGGAAAAACCCCGATAGCGTGTCGCAGTTCATTGTTCGCGGAACCTTAATCCCTTAATGTTCGCTGGACCTTATTTGGAAAAACGCGCAGACCGTGATTTACATGGTGAAATTGAAAACGTGATGATTCTCTGAGGAGAACAAATATTGTGACGAATGTAACCTGTGAATTTGGTTCCTTTTAAAGGAAATGCAATTACGTAAATATGCATCGTCGAAATACTAGATTGCTAGCATAGAAATTTTAACGCGAATATTAGTCGCACTAATTCCTTGTCAAGTTCACGCCTGGTTCATTGTTACTCATCGATTTAGATAGCGACGATTGAGAAATCACTGTTTGGAACATTTAGTTGTGCGAGACCATCGTAATAAATCGCCACGGCCAAGAGTGAAGTAACATGTTATTATTGTGTCGCTGCTGTCAGTATTTACAATCAACAAAACCTACAAACTACGCTCCAAAAATGTTCACACTCGACTCTCCTAGTCTCTCCCATAATTTTATTCGATATAAAAATTAAGCCATTTATTTCCTTATCACCTTCATTTACCGATGTTACTCCCACGTGTATTTCCAATAGTTTTCACGATAGCGTCAGACGCATCGAGGATACTGATTCCCTTTCACTGTACGAGGCTGTGAAACGAGCGTGTAGAAAACAAACTATGTCAACAAACACAGATAAGAACATTATTTTCTTAGACTTACCATCATTCCAGGCAGTCTAATGGAGCACGAGCGGCACGATAGCGAGATTTCCTTTTTACAGGGGGGCCACCCGGGCCTGTGGCCCTGGTTGGTGGGGGCCCACCATGCCCCTCCGTCTATCACTTCTTCGCGTCACTTTAATATCCTCACTAACACACTGTCGCGATTCTTTTCCTCGATCGACGAATCACCCACCCCCCGGTTACAGATCCATGTTTTCTTCCCTTCGATTCCGTTGGAAAATCCTCAACGAAACTTGAAGGTCATTTTCTTCGCGCGCGCCAAACACACGCCGTGCGACACTTTCACTTTCGTCGTTTCCTCCACACTTTTCCGGAAACGGTCGCGGCGCCTGCCTCTCCCGAGTTTCTGTCACCGCAACGTAACAATTTTCGGTCCCGTGATGCCGCATATAACAGAAACGAAATGTACAAGGCGTCGAACGGTTTTGAATGGCACTCCTATCCGTTGGTTGGGTCGAAATAAGGCATGGGCGTCAAGGGCTGCCGACCCTGGGCCCTTCGAACGTCGATTGAAAAGTTATTTCGAAGAACGACACACGGGCACCTCTGAATTACTTAAAAAAAAAAGAGTTTGATCGATGCACCGTGTCCATGTTCGTAGTAAACGTACTACGTCGAAAAGAAACGCTATATTGTACACATGTACATGTATAGATGTACCGTACTCGTACTATACTCATGTACGTACGCGTGCACAGTAACCGTAACTCGCGGGTCCACGAAATGGTAATCCGTCGTCGATCAACAGTGTAGAATATTCTTTCATTACTGTACAAAAACTTAAGTCTACCTCGAAAGCCTCTTATTATACACGAACCCGCCCACGATGCCCGTAAAACGTAATGCCCTTCCGATCACTTGACTAGCTATCACCCACTCGAAGTTCCCGCGCTTGCACTCTCCCCGTTCAACGCGACGTCGAAGAAAAAGACGCCGGGAATAGAATCGACGCTCCCGTGTCCCCCGAGCATATCACTCGGGATTGGTCTCCCGGTCGACGTGAGCGCGCCCCTTTGTTCCGCGGGCCAAAATTCTCTGCTCGTCGAAACGAGTTTGCGTGCCGCATATCGTCCAACGGTTCCGTGACCTCCGAACCTTTCCGCGTCGAGTCTCTGTCACTGGCGATGCGAGCGACCGATAACGAGTATTAACAACGTCTCGATAACGCTCGCTCCGAAAAACAGCCGACGTTTCTCTCTCTCCGCTACGCCTACCCCCTCCGACGCTCCAATTTTATTTTCTTCTTCGGAACGGAAACTATTTCTTCGTTTGTTTACGTGTCCGTGAATTAATGCTCAAAATAAACTATACCGACCAGCAGAGTTGTTGGAAAATATCACACACGAACTCCGTAAAATTCCTCCGTCGAGCTTCGTCAGGATTGCTTTTATCGGTTCCCTAATCGGGCGCATTATGCGCCAGCTAACACCGACTTCCTGCGACAAAAACTCGCTCCGAATTTGCATGTCAATGTTCCGCCACCGATTCCACACGCGTCCGTGCGACACTTCTCCCGCGAAATGTTATCGAACCCATGGCGAGAATAATTTTCCACGTTTTCTCGATTTTTGTTTCGTCATCCGGCCCAAGGGAGTATATTCACTTTTCCCAGGATCCAAGGGGAATCCCTCGTCGCTCCCGATGGCGGAACGACTCGGACAATCGCGTAGACCGCGTCGATTTTCCCTCGTAAATCGTCAACAGGTGGTTCGAGAACGTCGACTCGAAACACGCGTACGGAGAATGAGAATGTTCTCCGTCGATACGTCCACTCTGAATCTCACTCGAGAAACAATTCCACGACGATGACAGCGATGGCTGACGTTGCGAGGCTTCCACGTTTGGAACAGCTGATCGGTGCACCGATCTGTCACGCCGAAGGGCGCTCCGAATGTCTGATCTTGGTAAAAACTTTTCTATTCGACACTTTCCACGTTTCGTTTCTTCTTCTCTCGTGACTTGCTACTCGCGATTCGGCCGAAAATTTATCTCAAATTTATTTTCGCTTCACGGGAATCGTATTTGTCTCGAGCGATACGTCACACAAGACGAGCAGAAGACAAGTTGCACCGAACCACTGTATCGCTGCGTGACCCCACTGTACGCCGCGGAACGTCGTCGCACGTGTGCGTGTATATATTACGATAACTTTATTCCTCCTCTTTCTCGACGGCTATCCTTCCTTTCTCGTTCTCTGTTCCACCGTCGCGGAGATTCGACTATTTTTGTTGCGCTGGAAGTAACGGGGCGGTAGTAGCACGCGTCAGGCCCCCCCACTCTCTATCGCGATCGCTTTCCTTCCTCCTTACGTTCGTTTTCCCTTCCCCGCTTTTCCTCGCCGGTTTTTCACCCCGTCCTCATTCCTCGTCTTCGTCGTCGTCGTCGTCTTCTTCGATGACGCCGTCAGCCCTTTGTTCTCTTTGTTTACAATGCACAGATCGGCCGGCACGTTGCACCCCTGACAGCAGACGAACGCCGGAAAGAAGAGGAGGAAGAGGTGGTAGCGGGCGACCGGGTTTTTTCATACGCGAACATCGGCCGGCACAACCTTAACCGCTTGCGGACTTTTCCTTGCCCGCGCCACTCTGTCTCTCCTCGATTACGATGTGGATGATCGATCGCGCAAAAATTCACGGTGGAACTTGGCGACAGTTGCAATCGTTCGCTATCCTTGAGATATCGGACTATCCCTGGGAGGGTGAAAGACGTGAGTGGATCGTAGGGAGAGACGAGGAATCGACGGAGAAGAGATTGGTAGAACACGAGGCGCGAATGAATAGAGGCGTACGAGAGAAGAAGAGGAAGAGCAAGGACCTGCGTGCTCGTCCTATCGAAGTCCGCGAGCGATTGACTCCCGCGCGTCACAGCTTGAAACCGTGGCACGCGTGAGGGGAGCACGGGGAGGGGGGCATTCCCGCGGGAGGAGAGGTTCCGCGGGGGGAGAGATCGCGAGAGGGGCCAGGGGGAGGGGGATGGGGAGTTCGGGGTCGGGGGTGAAAGGGAAGAATCGGTGGCGGTGGCGGCGGCCGCGGTAGAACCAGGAGGTAACTCCAAAGAGGGACTGCTGGATGAGGTGGGGGGGCGCAACGTCCACAGGCGGAGGGGGGTGGGTATGGCGCGTGCCACTACACGCTAGCAGGTGGAGTGCGCGTGCCCAGAAATCTTCTCTCCGCTCTCTTCCCACTCCTCCGGGATCGTGCTTTCCTTCTTCGCTACTTCACCTCCCTCCTTCCTGTACGGGTTTTCCACCTTCTCTGTTTCTCTTTCTCTATCTCTTTGCAGTGGTTGTCTATGGTTCCGGAGTTGGTCCGGTTCGCGAATACGTGTGTACAACCGACCGACTCCTTCCTTCTTCTTTGCTCGTTTCCACGTTCTTCCGGCCCCGCGGTCGTTATTATTCCGTTTCTTGTCGCAGACCCGTACTCGTTCCGCGACTAATTTACCCGCGTTACGTTCTTGCTTGGCGCGGTCCACTTACTTTGCCCGCTGCCGCCTCGATGCCACGAGCAGGGTTACCGCTGACGTTTTATTTGCTCTCCGTAGATGCAGAATCTTGGTCGGAATTCTATTCGAACGGATGACGTATGGAAACTCCGTGTAACGATCTATCCGATTCGACAGTAATTCGGATAAGATATTCGCTGACTACTGACCAACGTGAAAATCATTTTAGTTTTCGTTAACAAATAACACATTTAAAGTCCTCTTTTTTTTTTTTTTTTTAGCTAGATCAAAATTTTAAACCGGTCGAGGTGCGAGACTCGAGCTGATAAAATTTTGGAGCGTCATTCATCCTTGGCGCGGTTTTCTTCCGTGCGTTTTCCGCGGTTGGCAACGCGATTCGGCGACATCGTAATTTCAACTCGAGCGTTTTGAAGATTCCTGCGCTCATAATATTTACGCGACGCGGTCAGGTTATTCGCGTAGTCTGATAAGAGTTGCTAACGAAAGTCTCGGCTGCGATAACCGGTCGAGGACGCGTAACCGATTCATCATGACGAATTTAATATTATAATATCCACGAATCTCGGCTACGGACCTTGAGACGTGTCACCGAGCATTATCAGTGGCTCCTTGATCTGGAGAGTTGAATCGTATCGCGCGCACCGATCGCTTAAACCATTACGATTTATTCGAACGTCGTGGATTTTAAAATCACAGAACGTGTTCTGTCATTTCTATCGAACGCGACATTGTAATTTCAGCGTCGATTAAAGCGGGGAGCACTTTCACTGTTTACACGTTTAATGTTCAGTCTGCAATGTCAACGTTCGATGCGATTCTTCCTCGGAGCCGTTTAGTCGTAAAAATGTTTTTTCGTTCGGAAAAGTCACCGAAAACTTCGATCACGATAAGTGGAGGCGTCGTGCGGTAAGGTCGTGTACTTTCGACGTCTGTGAACGGAGCTGTCACGCTGCGCACGTGGTTTGCAGTGAGCGCAAAACAACAACAAACCCCACACAGAGAACCTGACGCCCCGAGGAGTCGCCAGCCACTGACTCTCTTCTCGGTTCGTTTCGATTCGGTTCGGTTCGACTGGCCTCGCCTCGCCTCGCCTCGCCTCACCTCGCACCGTCCCGCTCCGTCTCGTCCCATCTCGTATCGTCTCGTGCCGTATCGTCTCGTGTCGTCTTGTCTCGTTTCGTTTCGTTTCAACTCGAATGCTACGGCACGCCAGTGGCGAAGCGCGCACGTAGTCACGCGTTCGGCTACGATCGTCCCAAACCCGAGTCGACCCGAGACAACTCGTCGCAAATCCGACTTCGACTTCGACTCCGATTCGCGCTGTGCTCCGTTACGATTGGAGCTACGCCTGCTTGCTCGTTTTATACCACAGATTCGGCAGAATTCTCACCTACGATACAAAATTTCGATCAACTTGTAAAAAAGCATAAGGTATATTTATTGTCTAATAGATAATTCATTTGGAACTGTCCCTTTCACAATATGTTTGTGTAAAGTTAAGTTTCTAAAACATGGTAGTATTTATGTTAGTAACGTTATATCTAAGAGCTTTAAACATTCTTATATTTATCAATGATATATATATTTTTCATATCCTATTCGAGCATGCTATAAATGTATGAAATCTGCGGTGGTTTATTATTCAAATGAAATTCGACACATTTTTACAAAAGTTCGAGAACCTCTCCTTCTCGAAGGAAGACTGTACCATAACACATCTACCGTGTATAGGTCCGATAGTACTACGCTACATCAGTGCGTAAGTGACTAAGTGACTCATACTAAAAATCATCCATCGCGTTTTTCTTGGTAAAGTTTATAAAATCGAACTTATACCTCAGAGCTAACTAGATCAGGTCCAAATAATAGACATTTAATGTTTTAAATAACAATAAGAAACGTGATATCAGTAATGACTTAAAGTGTAAATTTAATTCATCGAAACACATAAATAATCCTTATACATTACCGAGGAACTCGTTATTAATTAATTCGAACTATACAGTTCGAGGTCCTATGCTGTTTGCTACGTTAGAATTTTATAGTGACCAGAGTTGTTTGCGAGTGATTCGAGCGGTAAAAAGGCAATGGCATCGATTATTCCTCGACAAACGTGACGGAGACAGCGAAACTTTCTCCGAAACATAGAAATCGTTCGCACCTTGGGTAGTATAGTCGTGACCGCGACTTAATCGGCTGCCGTGCAGCTGGCAGCGATGCTTTTACACAGGCGCATTCGCGACACGTCGCCCGCGCTTTGAACCAACACTTCTCCGTTGCGTCATCATGGTTTCACGGTGCGCCGGGATTCGACAAGAAGAGAACGTGCGCGAGCGCGCAAACGGGACCATTGCAAGCGACGCATCTGTACCGATCCGCTTACACTTATTACAAATCCGCCAGTGATACTCAACCCACTCTAAAAGATCCGCGCAACCGTGACACCATACGCAAACAAACAGATAAGTACTCAAATTTTTGCGACTTGCAGATAAGTGCAATATTCGCGCATAAAATATGCATTTTCATACAAAACACGGTTTGGAGTGCCGAAAACCTAATTCTAGACCTTAAATTGTGTATTCTGAAAAGCTGTATTTCAAAATTCAAAATTCATACTGACAACGTGGTTTTTGCTCCGATCTACAGATATGTTTACGAGCAACGCTTGGCTCCGCCAATAATTTCATTAGTCACGGTATACTCGACTTCGCCACGTAAAGTAATAATCGCAGTTGCACGAAGTGGTACCGTAATTAACGATCAGATTTGGAACAGCGTTACCAGCCACGATATGCATCTTCCAAACGGCAAGTAATATTAACAACTCGGATGTCGCGTGCAGATATTGTGCGAATATCACCATCGGTCGATCAAGGGAGCAACGTTTGTAATTAAATGTTCGGACACGGTATTGCGAAGGTGATTCGTGCGTACATCACCAGACCAATAATTGATGATCGTGAACCACGCTGAACAGCGTTCAGGGGGTGGTTTGGTCTGGAGAACGCAAATTTAGGCTTTCTTCGCGTATTAATTACGGAAGAAAGGTATTATCGATCTCAATTTTTGTATTTATGAATACTTGCATCAATTTTGTCATGCATTATTAATGGTTCATTCTAAAGTTTTATAATATTGTGTCCTAAAAAATGGAATGAATACTGTCTAAGAAGCGCCAGGTTCTCTCCAGCACTTTTTGAAGCAGCGTGCCTCGTACCAAGAGACTATCTATCTAATGGCAATTTTCAAGATAAACGATTCAATGTGTTTACTTTTAAAGTTTAACTCTCCCCTCCCCACCTTACTGCAACGAGCGATAATATCTCCCTTCGTAGTCATGACGAGTTTTCCGCGTAATCGTTCGATAATCAAGCGCGATGATTGGACTTCGAAGTGACACACAAAAACGATTACAAAGAGGCTATAAACAGTTTGGACGGTGAAACATGCTGGTATCAGCACGAGCGTTAACGGACACGTAACCCGTCAGCGATCGGGGAGCGGCTCAAAAACTACGGGTCGATTTTAGAACATAATAAAGATAAGGCGAGATTAAGGGACCGCGAACCCGATGAACGCGAGGGGAGACGATTGGACGCGATGACGAAGCCACGACGAAGTGCTCCAAAATATTTCTGGTTAAACTATACAAGGTGTAGGATTCAAGACGTACGTTATACATGAAATTCAGACGTTAACCTGATGCACGAATTTTATTTTATTTTATTTTTCACGACATAAATTATTCCTTCGGTATTTATACATCCTTGATTTAATTGGTGTCTTAAACTAATGATAAATAAATAAATCTATTGAGAAATTGGTACGTGATACACACCATATTGTATGGGTTTTATATTTTTCACTCCGCTGGTAAATAATTGTACATCCACGGAGAATGGTATACGGTAGCAAAGCACAAATTGGCTCCCGTGCCAAAATGAGTTTGACACGCTTGCTCTAGCACCTTCAACCGTGCACCCTATGGATTAAACTTTGCGAAGGGTGAAACCGTTGCTCGATTTCAGGCGAAATAAAGATCGAATAAATGTGGTCGCCCATTTCCAATGCAACACTCTCCATTCGCATCGCATCCGGTGCCGAACTCTATTTGCTGCTAGAACGGAATTCTTCGTGACACGTTGGCGACGCGGAATTAATGTTTAATTCGATTCGTTTCTCGCGTCAACGAGACTTGCGGAGCGCTATCCGTGAATCCAATCAACGTTATCCTTTTCTCTGTCGCGACTGACACGCTAGAGTTACTAAAAAGTTCAATAACACATTAATTTTTTAAATATCTTCAAACAATTTTCTTCATTAATTTAGAGGCCTTCGATACAATACTACTTTTGAGTGGCTCTGATACAAGGGGTGGTTTCTCTCTCAAGCTCAATATCTACCAGCAACAAAGTACAGTATAATTCTTACGTAGACTCACTATTA